AAAACTGACAATCACACAGTCTAGATCTAACTATCTATATCTAACTCTGTCTAACTTGAACTACATTTTGAATGCTTATTTATAGTCTCACAGAGACCTAGAACTTTTTACACACTACAAGATATTATGATGCAATAACACTCAATCAAAACAACGAGAAAAACTTAAAACGTTCTAGTAACCTGAGGCAATAATACAAAAATTGCAAATTTACAACAATTAACTACACAACGTATGATTCATACACAGTTACACAAACAGACCTGTGACAAACTATAATTTTTAAAAAAACAAAACTAAATTCAACACTCACACTATACTTAAACCATCTAAATCACAACACTCACATTAATCTTAAACAGTCATGTATATCTAACAACGAGGATGCAAAGCCTGAAGAAATGTGAAGTCAGAAGGACCCTAAGAATGCATGACAGTAACTGTGTCTGGTAAAATGTCTAAAGGTGTAAAAATAAAATAAAATGTACGTTATGATTGATAACCTAACCCTAATGAAGCACTTTAAGCCATATTTTTCATAGTTCATAACCACATACAGGTGTTAGTTGGAGCCCAGGCTGTGATTAAGATATTAGTAGAAAAACATAAGATTATATTAAAGACTAACCCAACATCACGTAAAAGCTAAAAAAAATCCTACATTATATAAATTAAGCACTTAACTTAGATTTAAATCAAAAAGAGTCCTCTGCTAAAGAGTAGATGAGGCAAGGAATACAACTGTGTACGAACAAAAAAAAATTGTAATAAACTTATGTCAGACCACACAAGAATTATTGCTCCCATTTTTTGAGGCTTTAGTGCCACAAGTGCCTGAAGTATGATGTTTTATCACAAGCAACAGTCCTGCAGTTAATTTTCACACTTTGTGTTCACACTTCTTTCTTGGTTTAGAAATTATCATTTTTTAATATTATATCTCTAAAAAAGAGAATATCTCTATAAACATTTTAATTTTTTCTCATTAACTTATTTTAACCACAAATGAAAATATTTACCTGAAACTCTTCTGTTTGGTACCAGCAACAGGGATGGTGACAGTAACACCACCACCACTTGCAACTTTGGAAGCATGGGGAACCAGCAAATGTCGATTACTAAGAGTTGTCAAACTTTTGTTCATGCCAGAACCAGAACTAAGTCTAGTCATGCTAACAGCTCGCCCAGATGGAGAACTTAGTCGGCCATTACTGTGATGAACTGAAACAAAAAAATATTGAACTAACATTTTTAATTATATAAAACAAAACTTTAAATTTAGGGATAATTATTTTGTTTCGAACTTGAAGATTAAAACTTTCATTCAGTTGTATTATATGAATAGCCACGTCAAATACACATGTATGTGTATGAAAATATAGGGAAAGAATAGTAGTAGTATATGTTATATATTTTACAACATAATGCACACATACAAATACATATTATGCCAAAGGGCCTATAACCAGAGCTGGACACTTTAACTTATATAATTGACTATTTGTGAGCAGTGTTTAGATTGATTAGATTTACTGAAATTCTAATTAAATCAATTAACCAATATTAGTGTTTCTGATAATTAATTTCAATTATTCAAACAGTTGATTAGGATATATTCCAATTATATCGACTGTCACAAAAAGAATCAACTAATTGAAATTACGACTTCTGATTAACATTAAACATGTGCACAACAGGGAAAAGTTAAAAGTGCAGCTAGAAGTTAACGTACATGTCCGACGATGATTTCCAGATAGTAATTCTCATGTCAGGAGTTTCAGTAGGTTGTCAAGCTACGTGTACATCAGAGTAGCAAAAACACACATTCATTATTTGACAAATTCAAAGTTAAGAAATAGAACAGCAGTTCTCAGTCTGTGGTTCACAGAAAAGTTGTATAATTAGAGAAAGGAAGCAGCAGCATAGTTAACAGATACCAAGTCTATTGTGAATAATAAAAAAAACTCAGGTCTGTCAACAAACAAGTTTTAGAGAAACTGAAAAAGAAATTGATGCTTAACTTATAAGATTATTTTTAATTTTTTTAATCAAAATGTGAATTATTGAAATTTTATAATTTCAAGCTTAGAAGCTTCTTTTAACTATAAAACATTGAAAATTAAAACAATGTAATGAATTAACCAGAAACTTTAAATACAAAATGATAAAGACAATCAGAACCTGTATTCCAATATTTCGAAAAGTAAACTGTCCACACTGTCATTTCATAAAAATTGATTTATAAATATCTGTTGAAAAATTCAAAATGTAACCTTAAGAACAATAACAATATTCAAAACACTTTGGATAAAACAATTTAATCACTAATTGACTCTCAAATGTGTAAAAAACATTTATTTTTATTTTCATAATTACGGTGTCAAATACAGACATCACAAAAATAAACTGGTAAGTACTTTCTTAAAACACTACATTTTAACAAGTATTATGTTTATAAATTAAATTGAAAAGTTTCTTTTCGATATTTACATAAGTCTACACAAGGGCTGTCTGCACTAGCTATTTCTAAATTTGAACTGATAGACTAGAAGGAAGCCAGATAGTAAACAGTACTCATCACTAACTCCTGGGCTACTCTAATGAAATAGTGCAAATAGAAGAATTTAACCATCACTCTTATAATAGAACCAAATCTTCGCATGTTGAACATGATTTTTTTTTGGTAATGAGATACAAACAATGAACCCTGGATCCATATTCCACCATGCTAACCTCGAAGCCATGCTCAGCCCAAAATTGAGAAGTAACATTTAAAAAAACTGGTCAGTTATTTAGTTTCATTTTTTGTTTTTCTACAAGTGCATCTTCACAATGCTGTAACTGTGCTCGTTTCTTGTTAATAGAACATAATTACCGAGAGTATTTTGTATGAATAACTAGTAGTACTAAACAAATATTCACAAAAATAAGTGACACAGTTCCATTGATAACACTCTGGATTTGGCCATGATTCATTATTTATTATAACTGAGAAATACACTTGCTAAACTGACTACAAACCATGCTCAAATCATATAATACAGATGATGTACTCATAGGATTACTGATATACTAAAATAAAACATCATCGCTAGACTACAAAAAAAAATGTTTTTTTTGTTTCATTGTTTTTTCCTTTATTCATGTTTATCTTGATGTTCAGTCCAGATTGTTTTGTTTATGTATGGGAAATTTTTAACCTTTCATACACTTTGATACATACTATGTGAAGTGTACTAAGACATGATTAAAAGCAAACAACAGTTGTTGGGAATCCTTGAGACAGATGTAAATTTAACAGATGTAGAACACAGAATGACAGAGAAGAACCTCGAATATTACAGTGGCCACAATACTATGACTTAACAAAAACCTCAATACACATATATTTGAAATAGTGTTTTAGAACATAATCACAAACTGTAAATGAAGGCTATATAAATAACAACTGAGAAAATACTCCTATATCACACTGATGAACAAGAAATTGTCAACAAATATGCAGGATGGTCAACAATGAAATAAAAGTACAGATCAGTTGAAACTTTTCAATGCTGTGAAAATATCTAAACAATAGTTATCTGTATGTTATGCTACTAATAGTTCATTCTAAATAATGCATTATGTGCTTCAAACTCTGAAATACAAAACAAAAATAGTAAAATTTGAGAATTGAAGGATTATTATGAAGTATGTGAACATAACAAATCTATAATAAACACAGCCAATTAACCTGTTTTTCTTATAGTTGAAGTGTACAGTGATGCAAAGGACCATGTCAAATAGCTGTCAAACTGTTAATTCTGTGTTTTTTTGGAGAAAAAATAAACAGAAAAACAAGAGACTATTATAAAATTTTCCTTTCCTTGTCGATAATTTTTTAAAATCTTAGATTAAGACATAGAAGAAATAATAATTATTAATTTTGTTGTAATTCATCATATTTTCTTTTAATCATACAACAATGGGCTTACCCGCAATTCCTCCTGCCATTGGAAGTCGGCCTAAGCTCCGATTCATGGGTGGATTAGAAAGCAGATGACTGAGGGATCTCTGTTCTGGCACACTTACAAGATTGTGTCTGGAGTTGGCAAAGTTTCCTCGACTCTCCCTAGATGGACCGGTAACAATATTACGTGTAACTAACTTTGTAACAGGAGCAGTTATTGATGTAACAGTTGTTGTGGACAGAGTTGTTGCTATAGTAATAGCAGATGTTACCATTAAATCTTGTTTACTACCTCCAACCCTGACAGTAGTAACTCCTCCAGAAGTCCAGTTTACATGATTTTGATGTTTACTGAAAAACCAAGCATGGTTCACAATTAATTATATGTAACTAATCTAATAAACTTATTCAAAATAGTCAGGGGAACAAAACAATTTAGTTCAAGTTTTTGTTTCTTTTAAACTTCCAAGACAATGCTATAAAAACATAACCAGTAATACAGTTCTCAGTAATTGGTTTGTTATGTAGAAATATATTTCTTAGTAGTAAAGATACCTGTGTCACACATAGCATTTATTTCTCCAGAGGGTGCCATGCTTTATTTGTCATACAGGTCTACTGAATATGGGTGATGATAGTTTTGAGAATTAGGCACTAGCAAACTGTTATGCATTCTTAGGTCCTTCTGACTTCACATTTCCTCAGGCTTTGCATCCTCGTTGTTAGATATACAAGACTGTTTAAGTTTAATGTGAGTGTTGTGATTTAGATGGTTTAAGTGTAGTGTGAATGTTGAATTTAATTTTGTTTTTTAAAGACAGTAGCAAAGGGAAAAGTTAAAAGATCATAGTGCACTAGTCACTGGAGCAAAGCATCCATGCTACGTGATACGGAACATATCACTTCCATTTTTGGTTGGCTTTACATGGCTTAACTTTATCTTACAATTTCAGAAGGGAAAATAAACAATAAACTAAGCAATTATATGGAAACCAGAGTTGATTAGTGTTCATCACAATACACAAAACTAATATATCAGTTTAAATTTTTTCCTCTCATAAGAAGCATTCTTGTGTTTATGCTTGTTTTGTAGATCTCTCTTTATGAAGAAGCAAAAAATGTTTTACTCCTATTACACTGCAGCTATGGTTAATGTAAAAGATAATTCAAATACAATCTATAACCAGAGCTGGACAGTTAGTGGAATTTGACAATCAATTAATCAGTTAGTTTCATCAATCTAATATATTATTTTCACAAGAATTGGATAATTGGAGTAATCAGGAATAGTGCTAATCGAAATAGTAATAAACACTATTTCAATTAATTGATCATGACACTAACAGAATATGCCAAACAACCTGGAATTAACCAAACATAATGATAAATCCTAATTGCAATATTTTGGTTATTTCAATAGCTGGGATAATAAAACCAATAACAACTGGAAACACTAATTTTGATTAATCAATTACTTTACATGATTAACCAATGTAATTAAGATGAGGAACTCACTTTGAGATTAATAATGGCTGGAGACGGCTTTAATGGGTAATGAAGAAAAACTTTAATATAAGTTTAACATAACAGCAAATGTACAACGTTTCGACAAGGTTTTGTCATCATCAGGTTTTTTTTCATTACCCATTCAAGCCATCTCCAGGCATTAATAGTACAACTTATCTTCCTGAGAGGAAACATTTTTCTAATTCACTTTGTCTTTTTTTATGTCTCTGTAACATTACACAACTCTCCATTTGTATGCTAATCCAGAAGAAGATTAGAAGCTGAAATTTTTAACCAGATGTCTTTGCTTTAGAAATAGGCCGTATTTCTATACTGATTTTTTCTTATCATAAAAATGTGAATTACACGTGTTGCTACTGTAGAGCTTAGCAACTTAATTCAATTAATCAATTACCCATGAGCGATCGAATAGGTTGAACTACACTTTAAGATTAACTCAGTACCTAAAACTTTTATAATAGACCAACTACATATTAGGTGGTATTCTTAATGTTACTGTCCCACACATAAATAATTTTGTGGTGCAAATTGAGTATGTTAATATTTTTGTTATTTAGTTAGAAAGTTATACCATCATACATACCTTACAGAACCCAATATACAACAAATCATAATGAATAACAAAAGAAACAGAGAAACTTAACATCAAAATTCATTACAGAACTACATAAATAACTTGCCAAATGTTTTTACCAACAAATACTTCCCTCAAAATGTACTTAATAAGATTAAACTGTTTCGTAACAAAATTAACTGTATATACAACTTTTTTGCATTATTAGAAGCAAGATACTAATTCAAACCTTTTTTCTTGGAGTTTTTAATAATTACCAAAAACTATGAGCTGTCTTAAAGCAACTGACGAGTATTTGCGCTTTTAAGCCAACACACCTTATGCATCTTTTGTAGACCTGTAAAAATCATATTAAATATAGTAGCATACTGTACACGGCTTGGAGATAATTTAAGATATTACTGTCCAATACATATAAGAACAGCAAACAACTGTTTGGGAAAGTTTAGAAAATTACATTTACTTTTATACTTTTTTAAAAAGTAGGTCAAGTTTTCTTCTTGAGATGATACTTGAAGCAAGTATGTTAAGTGGTTTGGCTTGTTTTGAATCTTGTACAAAGCTAAACAAGGGTTATCTGCACTAGCTGCCCCTAATTCATCAGTGAAAGACTAGTGGGAAGGCAGCTAGACATCACCACCCACTGCCAACTCTTGGGCTACTCTTTTACAAACAAATAGTGGGAGTAACCATCACATTATAACACCCCCATGGCTGAAAGGGCTAGCATATATGGTGGGACAGGGATTTGAATCCATGACCTGCAGATTGCGAGATGAGCACCCTAACCACTGGGCCATTCCAGACCAGGTTAAGTGATTCCATCAGGTGTCTAAAGTTCAGTAAGTGAACATTGTAAAAAGGTTTAGTCTGGTTGCTCTTAAACACAAAGCTACACAATGGGCTATCTTTGCTCTGCCCACCATTGGTATCAAAACCCAAATTTTAGCAATGTAAGCCTGTAGACTTGCCACTGAGCCAGTGTATGATCACTGTGAAAAGCACAAATCATCCAGAGCTTGTTATAGTATCCTAAATGAATCATTACCCAATGCCTAAAGCATCTTACAAGCAACAACTGTTTCTCAATAGTTTCATTTTGAGTTTACTTACTTATTATAAGTATTATCTTATTACAAGTTACAGTTTTTACAATATGGAAGAATATTTTTTAGCAGTGGTACAACATTTCGATGACTGGTGCGATCATTCTCAAGTTCACAATAAGATAATATATATTTACTGTTTTTCATAGGAACTGAGGTTGGTTATAGCTTTTAAAAATAACAGTAAGTGGAAAAAAAAACATGTGCCATTAAGTATTTAATCCTTTTTTCAGCAATCAATTGATAACATAATGTCTAATTCTTTGTTATGTCACTGTTATCTCCAGGTTCCTGAGCTTAAGTTATAAAAATGTTTTTAAAGAAGAGAATGACTATATAAAATATTGAAGTACCTTTGCATTTACAGGAATCAAATCCTGTACTTGATTATACCTTAAGATATTTTCATATTACTACTTTCTATCACATGACACAAAACAAAGAGTATAATAAAATCCTTAATCAAAGTGAGAAAAATTACCAATAACACATACTGGGGGCTTGAAGAATCAGCTTTCAGTTCCTGAATGAGCCATCGAGCTGTGGAAGTTGAGCCTTCAGTATGACTGCAGATATCAGGGAGGAAAAGAGGTAAAAGTATAGGAAAAACTTCTGTTATACCTTTGATTTCCTTCAGTAAGACAGGCAAGCATGAGTGGTCAGTTTTAGTCAGCTGAGCAACAAGATATTCCAAGCACTCTTTGCCTCGTTCCTGTTTAAAATGAAATTAAACTGCATTATTACCATGCTTAACTTTGTAGTACAATGATTTCTTTTTAAGCATTGCGTTAGAAGAACAATAACTTCATACATGAAACAGCTAAGTATTTACAGAACGTTTAAACTTTATAGAAAAGTTCTGGATTTCATTACAAATATAACTGTCGAGTTCATTGGAAAAATAACAACTTGTCTCATCTGGAAATACTTTAAAAGAAAATAAAAAACCCAATAATTTTAAGCATACATGGGAGAGTTTAAATATTCTAAACTTAAAATTAACTAAGTGTTTCATAATTTCATATTAAAAACTAAGTTAATAGTATCTAATTGTAATTCCTTCTCACAAATATTTTATGACCAATGACTTTATACTTTTTTCTTCCTTCATTACTTTCATTACCATTCAATTGACAAGAGTAAAAAACTGACAGCCATCTGATTTTGATTTTAAAATTTCACAAATTGTTAAACGTTGACAATCTATTTTAACGAATTCAGTTTCACTCTCCTGAAATCAATGCTGGGCCTTGAGGCATCTAATTTGAATGCCAAATAGAAAAATGTCATTAGAGCACCATTAATTTAAAATAGTCTCATTCCTGAATAACATACAAAGATTCTCTGTTAAAAAAAAAGTTGGCTTTATTCATACCAGGCTTAACTTCCCGACAATTCCCAGAATGCGAGCCACTAGAGGGAGTGACCCAGGATACTGTTCTCCTACAACTTTCATCTTTTGCAGGTGTTCTGTGAATGGTAAAGGGCAAATAACAGCCATGTCTAAGAATATCTGAAGTACACATATTGTACAATTTGGGATGGTCAGACAACCACTGAACTGTGGCAAGTTACTTTCCAGCATCTGCAAGTTGTCAAACATGTTTTTAAAACTGTGCTACATTCTGTAAAATAATATTGAAAAAAAGAAACTTTAAGCTATGAATTTAGAATATTTTCTGAAACAATTAAGACCAGATATGTTTTGGATACACAACTTTACTGACTAAACAGATGCTTTAGCTAACTAAACACCCACTTCATTTCATTGGATTAAAAACCAGAAATCCGATAGGATTCTTAAGCTCTGGTAATTGGCTTGTAAACCTCAGGGTAAATTTATTGTCATTGATAGGAAGGACTGATTTTATATAATTGAACTAATTATATTTATGGATGGGCAACCACATCATCTTAATAATTAAAAATGTTTCAGAAGTGAAATCCAACTCAGTGCAGGTTTTGTATCCCACACAGTCTCAGATTTCACTCCTTCCAAAAAATAAAGCTTAAAACATTAATGGATTTTTGAAAATTGGTACTACAACACTACGCAACAATTAACTTCTGCAGTAACTGTTAAATCAGATCTTAAAACAATTATTTTCTTGATCTCAAATATTTTATGAAGTGATAAAACAGTCACACTACAGTTGAATTCACAGTCTTTCAGCCGTTCCTGAATATGACCATACAACACAACAATGCTGATATCAAACAGAACAAAACGACCTTACCGAAGGTTTATTTTTGGCAATCAGACTGAACAATTTTAAAAGGCTTATTTTCTCTGATTTTTCACACAGGGGTAGCAGAGACACTAGTGCCATTACATGGTCGTGGATGGGTTCTTTGTTGACGGCATAAATTTGTGGAAGAACTTTTGCAAGCACGTAGTTTCCTAATAGTAACATGTAAAAATAAAAAACAAATTGAGGCATGTTCGTATCTATATGTATAAATAAACCTGTCATTCGATTCACAATTCACACACGAATCTAACTGAATAGCTTACGCAAAAAACAAGATTTTTATATTTTTCAGTGCCTACAAAAGTCTTTTGATTACTCCCTATTAATCAAAGTTTCCATCAAAATGGAATATATTTAAATCTAGTTTACTGTTAGTCACAATTTTGTAAATTATGAAACTTTTGATACACTTGGAGAGACATCTTAGCCTTGTGCTTTGCAAAATCATAGTACAGAGAAAAAAAACTAATGATAAAGAGTTCTCTACCAAGTGCACATTAATTGAACATTTCAGTAGTCTATAATAATAATAATAATTAAAAGAGAAGGGTAGCAACTAAAATTGTTTGACATCACTTTGCTAACTAACATGATTAATTATCACTAAGAATAAAAAAACTGCATGTCTTGAGCACTAGGTAAGGTAACTTATTTTAGTACAATATTTCCTGATAAATTGTTATTTCTCAACAGATTTGGGAGAATCCACAAATAACAATAGGTTTAAGTACAATATTATTTGCAAAGTTAAACTGATTTCTCCTGGTTTTGACTGAATTTAGAGTAAAGAAAGAAAAAGGACACAAATATAAAACATCATACAAACAATCTTTATTCAATACTTAAACAAAATCAAAACAACAAGTGCATGCACTACCTGTATCACTGTTGGTCCTCTCTGAAAAATGAGGGAGGATGTATTGTTAAGGTATCACTTGACCCACAATTGGAAAAGACTACTGCCTGCCAGTCTACAACTTAATGAATATGGACTTACCACTTATAACACTGTCTATAATTGGCTGAATATGAGGTGCCAAGAGATCTGCATTGCTATTAGCTGCTAGAGACAGATAACTAGAAAGGTTTCTTCTAAGTTCTTTGTTTCCACGATGGAGAAACTTGACTGCCACAGGTAGTAACAGCTTCATTATTGGTTTTTTGCTGTAGTTCTAGACCAATAAAAATAATAGTAAAATTATGACTATATAGGTCAAACTTTTAATTCATACAGTATTGTATACACATTTTCTATTAATTAATTCCTTAAACTTGAACAGATGCTCCCAGCGTCCAGCCAAAAATCCTGATTTACCTATTGGATGGTAACAGTGTTTGATAACATTCATGTCTCTTTGGCTGAAAACTAATCCAAATCATTTTATTATTCACCTTTTATAAATAGATCAGAAACTTTATAAGATATGGTGATAATTATGAGGACATCTTGAAAATAATTCTGGCAGAACGAGCAAAAAATTATGGGTTTAAAGAGTTAAATCATATTATACTGCTTCAAAACACATACACTGCCTTGCTAAAAGTGTCCAAATATTTCCTGAACAAGTAATATGGCCCAGAAAGTATGCTATGCAAGGGAACTTTGCGAGTATAAATACAGATACACATAGGTAATAGCTTAGTAGTTTAACTACTTGAAAAAAAAGTAAAATATTTTGTAGTGTGTTGTCTGTTAGTCAGTCAGTAGACACTAAAATGACATCACATAAGGAACACTTAATGTTGAAATTTGTACTGTAGTGACTTCAGTAAAATGTGTGCATGCCATGAGTCATGAGAATAATTATGCATTCTTTATAGGCTACAACACAGCATGATATATATATGAGCTTCAAAAGCAAGAAATAAAAATAACATTTTCAGGGATCCTGCAGAAGTACAACTGGTTGCAAGTCATTTTTCTGAACCAAAAGTTTATTAACTCCAAATATAACCCTGCAGTATCATCTTGCACACTTAACAGTTGTTGTTTTTACTTGGTCCAAACAGCCTGTTTGCTTTTTAAAGGCCATCACCTTTAACAAACACACAGAGATCTGTTAATAGCCTGAACTTTACACTGACTGAATTACACATCCTCCTTCTCACAATGGAAATACTATTTATATGACACAACATTGAAGCTGCCCCATCCAAATCTGAGAAAAACTTAAATCCAGCACTTGTCATTTATGAATTTATCAAGCCTCTCACATTATTAGTTATCATTCTTCAGATTGTAAAATTTACAAAATTTTGTTTAGGGACAAATATTTCCTTTCATCCTAGAATTTTGGTTATTGATCAGAAAGTTCCATTATTATACATCCGGGGAGGTTGGACTTTTTTGTCATTTAAGATACTTCTTTTGATACATTACTTTGCTACTTGAAACAGTAACCACCTGTGGCTATGAATAATAAAAAACATGGTAAAAACTGGCAAAGATTTATTGGTGACATCACCTTTCAAATTGTCAATTTCAATTTATATCTAAATAAATAGTTTGTTTTCAGCATATAATTAGTTCTATTATTTGTGTTTGTTTCACTATGAACAAATAATATTCAATAAAAACGGACTTGAGTCATCCAAACATTTCGACATCGCTTATGATACTCCTTAAACCTAAGTAAAATTACTTGATATTTTTCATACACGAAAATTCCTGTAGCTTTCAAACAAAGATAATTTCACACTGAAACGTTTTCAGGAACAAACATTCCCAGATCTGTGGTTTGTTCCTCAGTATTGTATTGTCATTAGAATCCTTTGTTCACTGCCTGCTGGAAATCTCAATAGTCAATATTTAGACAAACTACACATTACTGTTAAAACCATTAACAAAGAAGAAAAAAACACTTAAGATACAAGACCTGAATCATTACATTTTCATGGGATGATATTTTCTTAAATCTATGCTTCTAAAAAAGAAAAAATAATTAATAAATTCATTCAATGTTAGGGTTGGTATTCTCACTGAACTTAAATCTGTATCTAAGTGCAAGAAAGTGAAATTTTAATTCCTGAAGTAAGAAATAATTCATTCTCTAAACACTAAAAGATCCAGTAATCTGGTGGTTATTAGACAGTTAAAGGCACTTTAAAACAGGTTCTAATTAATAAAATACTTTCCTCATACCATTCCCTGTCAATAAAGTTAAAGTTGCATAATTAAGTCATGAATTTCAGTGTCACTTTCATACAAGTTGTTCTTTGATAAGAATAACAAGAGTTAACATTTTCTTAGGCTGAAAATGTATTTCCCAATAGGTACTTACCTCCATTCACACAAAGCCTTGATCTTCTTTCTGCACTCAGTGTACCAGTCTATATACCCCACCAATTTCATGCCACTATTGAACATATATGTACATAGCATGTGACTACTCTCCACCAATAGTATTACACTACCTATATTGGTGCAGCTAGCTCTCTCTGTAATTCCATTCATTATTCACTTTCAAGAATTGGCAGGCTCTAATAAAAGAACATCAGCAGTAGGGAGGAAGGGTGGGAAGAGTGTGAGAGGGGGTAATTTTCAATGTAAGACAATGTTAACCTCCAATGCATTCTTACCTCCCCTCACACAAAGCTAGAATCCCACATTGCAAAGGGGGAGGAGCCAGACTAGGCACTCCACATTAAAACCAAGTGGAAAGCGACTGTCCAGAATGAATGTGTGCTCCGAGATCAAACCAAAGCACACATGTGGGATACTGCACTACATCTGGAACAGGTATACTCTTTGCCCTTGAAGCAGGAAATGAATATGATATGGGTGGTAAAAAAAAAATGTGCACAAATGCAATTTGTTCGACAGATGAGGTTCCATAACTTGTCCTCAGCATTAGGATGTTGAGGATCAAAATAGCTAAAAACAAATATAGTGCAACATAAACATAGTGGCTAGGGCATGTGGACCATGTTATATATATACACTCATCAATCCCAACCATAAGTAAAGAAAGTGTCATACATCAAGCAACCTGAATTACAAAGAGAATATTAGCAGTCGGCCAAAACTGAACAGACTCCCAAAATCATTGTAGGAGCAAGAAGTACAACAAACCAAATCTGGCATTACAGGGTCATGGTGTTGCCTCAACTCAACTGAAGAAGAGAGCAATATCTGTAACCTGTGTTACAAGCAGGAATCATAACTCACCCCACCATAAGTGCAGGGAAATGACAGGGGAAGACAAAAGCTTACGAAACTAGAAGAAACATAGGTGTTTGACAAAGCCACCCGATAGCTAGACGTGATCTAAATGGACAAGCCCTTGTCAAACAACCAGATGAAGAATTGGGAAAGATGAGGAACAGAAGGGTGGGAAGGATAGAAATCACATCAGAAAGACCAAAGGCAGAAGGTCAACCATCAATTTTGGTAAATGTACATGGACAAAGGTCTGATGGAATGGGAAAGGAAAGATGCAGCATGTGGAGTCAGTCCCAAGGCTGAAGCAAAGAACCTGACAAAAGTCATGCAGAAAGACAAAGTGTGGTGACATCTGGATGACCAATGTCCAATTGAGGTTGACGGAATAGAGACAGAGGTAAGAGTACAGGAGGTTTTACATGAAAAGGTCGGGGTAGTGGGAGACATGGTTGCACCAGCCAAAAAAAAGAGCCATCAGTAGGACTAGACACAGAGTGTTTTGGAGTAGGGACAGAACTGTGGAGAGGAGTTGAATAAGAGGAAGTTGTGATGACCCTTCTAATCATGACTGAACACCCCCATCCCCAGAGTTAGTGGGTGTTGAACAGAAGATGAAAAAGAAGGATGTTTAGTGTAACAGTGGGTGGCCAAGGCATAAATGAGATGTCCCCAGCTGGGAACATACTCACCGAAATACCTGTGGATTGAGGGTCCACTCCGTAAGGAGAATCTTGCTGGGATGTGATAATCAATCCACAACCAGATTCAAGACACCAGGAACATTGCAAGCTAAGACCACAATGTGGTGATAGTGGGCCCAGAAAAGGAGATCCAGGAAATTAAAACACAGAGACCTGGAATTGGTACAACCATGCTTGGTGATATATGTGACCACTGTGGAGTTGTCGAAGCATACCATAACCACCGTCCCCTGCAGGAGAGGAAGGAAGAGGGACAAAACTCGATGAACTGCCATAAGCTTGTGAATGGTGATATGGAGAAAAGACTCCTTGATTGACCAGAGTCTGGAAAACTCTCAGAAGTCAAGGTAAGCACCCAAACTCTCTAAAGAGGAGTACGTGAACAGATGTAAATCTGGATGAGATGCATGAAACAGCACTCCAACTGTGGTCTGGTTTCTGTCTAACCATGAAGCCAGGTCGTCTCTGATCCAGGAATGAAGGGTAAAAGGATGGTCCAACTGATCCGAGTAGAAGTTCCACCGATCTAGGAGTATCCACTGAAGGGAACACATAAGAGTCTGTCCCATGGGAATGAGAGCTTCCAATGAAGCCCATATCCACTAAAGAGATAGAAACTCTGAGCTGTGAGAAAATGTGAGGTGAGGGCCTTGTAAACTGCTTGCTCCCTATCCTGAAGACGAAAAGGCTGGATCCAACTGAGGTAGAAATGAAGACAACCCCCAATCGAACAGGAGAATTGAGTAGGAGTAAGAACAAACTTCCCCCTTTCACATAAAGGGCATCTGAGTCACACCTACCACAGGTATATCCACGATGTGTGAAGTGAAGAAGTCAAAAAGCGGACCATGGAACCACTGGGAGAACTGAAAGCAATATGAAGAAAGCAGGAGAAGACCAAACCTTCACCAAGGTGAATGATGTGGCAGCACAGCAACTAAAGCAAGAAAAAGAAAACTAGCAAAATCCTCCACATTTTGAACTTACAGCTAAACCAGAATATGTGTCGACACCGACAACCTGATTAGCTGGCTGTAAAAAAAATAGAAGGAGAAAACTCCTGAAGAGGTGTAGACCACAATAAAAGGTGCCAGAAAAAGAGAGTCCAAATAGTTTTCTTTTCGAGTGTATTCTTCCTCAGAAAAAAAATTGTTGCAACAATTGAATGCAAACACAGTAAAACTAAACTATTGGAAAAAAAAATTGAAATAGCAAACAAGCACAATCATAAACAGGAGCCACATGAGAAAAAAGAAAAAAAAACACAACTAAACAATGCTATGCCAATCAAGAAAGTTAGGATTCAGTTGGAATGGAGTAGCAGAGGGAATTAGCTATCCCAATATAGGTGGTGCAATACTATTGGTGGAGAGTAGTCACATGCTATGTACATGTTCAATAGTGGTGCAAAATTGGTGGGGTATATAGACTGGTGCACTGAGAAAAATATCAACATAGCTTTGTGTGGGACCAAAATTATTATTACTTTGCATATTGGTTTGGTTCCATTACTCTTGCTAATGCAGTTTAGGGTTTTCTTATTAATATTTGTGTATGTAGGTTGGGCTGAGTTATAGAAACTTTTATTCCGATATGGTCTTGCCTCCTTATCGGCAGATGTTTAACTTTCTCAGACATGGTAAAATAAATGCAAGATTTGAAAACAGTAAACAAATATTACTAACCAGAAAAATGCAATTTACAATTTCGGATGCAATTTTTGCATGGGGTGGATCTTCATCTTTGTTAGATGGGCGAAGATCATGATTGAGGCAAGATTCTAATAAGGCCACAAGAGGTGCAGCATGCTTCTCAATCGTTCCAGTGTCCCTGTAAAGAAAAGATGAATACAACAAATTATACATTACCTACACAGTGGTCTGTATCATGGCAAAACAAATCATAAAAACTACAAAAATTCTATATTGACACATATTCAAAATAGTCACACAATGACATTTCTGAAAAATAAATACTGAATGCATTCTTAACTAAACAAACAATTTAGTGCAAACATTTGTAAATGCATTGGATTTTTTTCTATCGAATCTGATACACCACAAGATAAGTGACAGAAGACTTCATTTCTTTATGCTTGTGATCAAAGATATACAACATAAAGTATATTAACCGCAGTGAGGGGGGGGGGGACACTACTTCATCAATAAAGAGTTCAGTAATATTAAATGTTTCTAACAACACTTACACCCAGAAAGAACTTCAAGATAGCAATACCATGTAATGCAAGTACAACTCGTAATTACAATACCATGTAATGCAAGAACAACTCGTAATTACAATACCATGTAATGCAAGTACAACTCGTAACTACAATACCATGTAATGCAAGAACAACTCGTAATTACAATACCATGTAATGCAAGAACAACTCGTAACTACAATACCATGTAATGCAAGTACAACTCGTAATTATATTTTGCTTGCTAACTCTGCCATACTTTCATTCATCGATGACTTCGTATTAACTACAAACATTTTTATACATGTGCTTGGCATTAAATTGCTGATAAATTCCAATCCATACGATCTTTAAATAAATAATTTCAGTAGATAATCTACTCTCACAGCCTCAATGTGTAGTCACATGATAATATAAAACAATAAATGTACCTTTCATACCACTTACAGTACACATAAAACCGAACTTTAAAAAAGTTATAGATATATTTCATATTTTACTGTACCATAGGTGTTTAAGTTATAAAAAGTGTTTGCAAATAATTCACAAGTTTATTAAATTAAAAATTAATATCTGATTGAGACTATCTGTTTCAAGAAAATATTATTTTGTTGCCATTTTTTAAAAAATGTTTATATAATATTAAGGTTACTCTCCTTCACCATTTCTTTTTTTACAAGACTGTACTTTTTACACCAAACATATCTATATGGTTTTATTTTGCTAAATTCCTTACCTTACAAAATTTTTATTCCCACTGGAGAAGTTGTCAATATATATATACACACACATAATTCTTATTAAATATTGTCACATTTGCCACCACATATATATAATCTTCTTCTTTGACATCTGCCTTTCATGATTTCAAATGAGATTCGACTGAGCAATAGCTATACTTAAATCTTCACTTCCTCAATTTTTTCATTTATTTGTCTTAGTAATTCATTATCATTGTTTACTTCTATCAAAACATTTACTTTTGTGTCCTTTACAAAACAGTCAATCAAGTCATCTAACATGTACCAAAGTTGTTCATTTGTATGTCATAGGTTGAATTTTTTGCCCCACTATTTTGCTTCAGTTTTCTACATAAACTGAACAAACATGATTTTTTAATCTTTAATATTGAGGAATTTTGCTGTGTCAAATGTCTGAAATATCAGAACAAAACAATGTTTTCAAGGTCCATTACATTGAAGAAAACCATTTTTTGATGGTAGACTAGCATCACAAACAACCCCTTACATCGTGCCTCATTACTTCTTTTTTCCTGATGTTCTTTACATTCACTTTCACAAAGATAAACTTAATATTAAAATTGAATTAATATTTAAATTAATACAACATAAAATTTGAAAATTTAAATCAACTGCAACAAGTTCTAAAACCTTGAATAAAATACAGGATTATGATAGTGTTAAGAAGTTTAGAGAACAAAACATCCTAGATATGTTTAATGCAACAAAATAGTACAAAACTTTATGCTAAGTAAATGGATTTTTTTTATTCTTGATTTACCACCTAATAAAAATCCCACTATTTTTAAAAAAAAACAATTTAGTAATTTGGTAAAAAAATAAAAATTAGAACATAGATTGCAAAAAAATCCATGCCACATGAATGAATGCACCCCTCCCACAGAGCTGAGATGTCACCGTTTACTGTGTCTATAAGGCTATTATTACCATTTTACTTTGGTAAGGGATGTTGCAAGAAGTAAATTTTATGCACTGGCAAGATAGGTTCATGGCCGATATATAACATGTATTTATCATTTTCCCAAGATGATTTTTGTTTTATGATTAATGATAAAAATTTTTTGGTGCTACTATAGTGTGAGGTCTACCGCTGCATTATCCATCCCTCATGGATATCACACATTTCCATACA